CTCTGAGGGACTGAAGTACGAGTCCTTTTCCCGAACTGTGCTGATGACTCCATCGGGCTTGAAAATTTCTTAGATCGTTCCTGTTCAACACACTCTCTACCAGAAGCTAAAACCTCCACCTCTTCAGAATCTTTGGCTCTGCCCACCAGCACATCAAATATCTCATCCTGATGGGTTACAACTTGCCTACGCAGCTCGTATCTGAGTCCAAGGGCAAATTTACGCATCGATCTCTCTCAGTAGGTACCATACTGAATCCATACTTTAGCAACTTCAAGAACTCGATCTCATACTCAGAAACAGTCATGTCTCCCTGAACCAGGTCTTGAAACTGCTGACGTCTCTGAGCTAAGTAGCGCTCTCCCAGAAAACGACTCCGAAAGCGATCCTTAAAGAAATTCTAGGTCAAACGATCGGTAGGAACACTACTGGTCACTGACTCCCACCAAGTGTAGGCATTACCATCTAACATCGCCACAACACCCTGATATCTCTTAGTTGAGTCTAAACCCAACTGATCCATGCGTCTCTCTGTATCCTGGAGCCAATCCTTAGCTTCAGTAGGAGCTCCACCAATCTGTCCCCCAAAATTTCTAACTCCATTGGCAATCAAAGTCTGCGAAATAGGAACCTCTGATACAACACCAGTAGCTCTGACTGCTCCCTATATCAACTGCAGAAATTGTCTACCAAAATTCTCATCCAAAGCAACTCCGGTAGACTCTGACTCAATATCGGTCGCTCCTATGATCGGTGTAGTCATGCCAATACCAGCGGTAGGAGGCAGATTCGTTGGGGTCGTATGAGCAGGATCACCTATCGGAGGTGGGGGATCTACTCGTATCTCATCGATCGGGTCTGCAAATCTAGCCACTCGACCTCGTCCACGGCTAGTTCGACGACCACGTCTAGCACTCATTTTTTGGTGGATCTCGAGTTTACTACAGGAGATAAAACTTAGGGTTAGACAAGCACTTGGAGTCTCGAACACAGTTAAAATCTTAATAACTTGTGACATGGCCTTAGTAACTTGTTTTGTAAAATATTTCAAAAACCGTATTTTCAATGTGGACTCATACACAGTCTGCGGTTTAAAAACCAAAAGCTCTAATACCAATGTATGTAACCCCCTAGACCCGGCCTATGCGTTTCGACTAAGTCTAGTGGATCACATTATGATTCTTAAAGACATTTTCTGAAACCATTATTCAATCAATGTAAAATCACATTATAAATGTCATAAAATAAATTATACCATCAAAACCCAACTTGTAAATATAATACCAATAAGTAATAAATTAATTTAAAACAGGTCTTCAAAATCAAAATCACAATAAACCAAACAGTAATAGCAAAAGTGTCATCATCCTAAAATACGATACTTTAAAATAAGGTCCATGTCACCAAAATAAAGTCAACTAGCAAGATAAAACATTACAATCAGATATACTTCAAGAGATATGTTGATCCTCCAAGTGCTCGAACCGATGTATCTAACCAACAGTATCTGAAAGGGGGAAAAACATTTTCGAAAGGTGAGCTAGGCTCAGTGTGTCCCAATATTACCTTAAAATAACAATAGGTACATTAAACAAATCATAGTCCAGTAAATCTCATAAATTCATAAAAGAGTTTAACTTTTGAAAATCATAGTTTAAACTCTTTTCTTGTACACCATCAGTAATTTCCAAAACTACTTTCCATTTAGCTTACTCTAAGCACACAACAAAAAGAAAGCCAACCTAAGGATAAGCTTTAGAGCTTGTATCCTTAAGCCCGTAAGTCCAAGTCCATATAGCTTACCCTAAGCACACAGCAAGGGAAGACAATCTAATGTATCTTGGGGCCCTAAGAGTCACATTAGGCCCATTCTGTTTATTAGCGTGATCATAGCTATACTATTGTAATTCAATCCAAAAGTTCAATTGCACCGTGACACAAGTTCCATAAATCATCACATTAAATTGGTGCATCAATAAAACAGTAACCAAAGAACTCAGTGTACCTCATATTAAAACCAATAAAATAGTTCAGTAATAATTAGGGAACACACATCGATAATAGGTTCAAATAGTAGATCTACTGATTGCTGGTTTCACCACGCTCTGCTACAGTTTTCGAACCTATTTTATAATAACACTATATTACTTATGGGTAACATAAATAAATCTCTAAAATCATAAAATTTACGGGTCTTACGGGTGAATACTGGCACACGTGGTTTAATTGATCTAGAAGAGCTGGGTTGAGCTGTCGAACGATCCGGAGAGTCTCTTGTACCTTCAAACAATAATAATTTATCAGCCTCAAATCTTACTTAATTGTTCAAAGCTAAATTCTTAAGTATATAAGCATTTTCAGGGTTTGACTATCAATTTGGAGGATTTCGGGTTTGAATTTGGCCAAACGGATTGCGGAATTGGAATCAGGACGTCGAAAAACATAAAGTATGTCTTTTCAAAAATTTAAATTATTGGTCAAAATCAAAGTCAACCAATTTGACCGTCGATTTGGAGGCCTTCGGGTTCGAATTTGGTGAAACGGACTTCGGAAACGGATTCGGGACGTCGAAAACTATCAGTATAGGTATACTCGGAAAATATTTACGGTCGTTTAAGGGTCGGTCAAAGCCATTTAAGGTTCTGGTCAAAGAAAGTAAACGGTCAACGGTCAACGGTCTGGTCGGGTCAACGGTCGGGTCGGGTCAGACCGGTCAAAACTGGTTCAAAACCGGTCAAACCGGTTTTCCAGTTGCTCACTCTCCCTACGGCGGCGTATGTGGCGCGTGAGACGTCCTCCGGGGCTCTAAAAATCACAGAAAAATTTCTACAAATTATTTTGAGCGATTTCGAGATACTTACAACGATCAGTTCTAATTTTTGAACGGCGGAGAGCTCGATTTTAAATTGGCCGAAACTTTGACTGCTCTACCTCCTCACGCGCCGCCGTCGACGTAGACCAAGGTTGACACCGGCGGACTCGAAACGGCACAAGGAACACGATGCTGCAGGATGTGTCGTAAACGGAGCAACGATCGGCGATGAATTTGAGATTTTCCCGGCGATCAAGCTAAATAAAACGTCGAGACTTTGACTGGAAATTCCTGACGTTTGGCAGCGTTTCGCTTCAATTAATTTGAATGGTTTGTTCCTCGCTCGATGATGAACACAACGGTGGTTTCAAAACGACGATCAGAATTCGGACGGCGTCGGAATCAAGGTTGGAAACTGGTGTAGGGGAAAGGGAATTTCTGAATTGGTTTTATGTGTTTTCACGCAGATACCAATTCATTTCCTTTAAAAGAAAAACCTGCCGACACTCAAAGGTATAACTCAGGGCTTGGTCATTGAATTTTCTTCAACTTCTAAAATGGACTTCAAATTTTCAAAGCTTTCAATTTAGTCCTCATAATTTACCAATTTTCACAATTAACCTCCAATTTCAATTTAATATTATTCTAAATTTTTCCGGGTTGTTACATCCCTTTTCGACCACGACTATCATCGGTGCCGATGCCATTGTCTTCTCCCTTTCGGCCGTCAACTTCCGTATTGTCTCTTGCGCTGACGGGTCTTGTGGAGTTGTGAATTATCGCGATTTTTCTTGTCACGTTTGTGGATTTAAATCGCGATTGGGGTTATCCAGTGACTGTTAGTCGGGTGGTTGGTCGTCATGAGGCGCAATCAAAGGTAGGTTTGGTCGACGACAACGTCGGCAAAAATGGGTGGCAGTCAGCGTGGTTATATGGATTGAAGTTAGAATATTCAAAGTTTTGAGATTTTTTTAAGATTTGATTTTTTTTGGATTTTTTAATATAATAATATTTTAATTTTTTTAAAAAATTCCCAAAATTATAATAACGTGACATGTGTCACTAAACGGAATTTTTTAAAGGCCATTATGATAGCTCACCGAAAGTGATAACGTTTGTAACATTAAGTACCTAGATTGATTGAAAAACAAATTTAAGTACAATTTTAAGAAAAACGATATAATTTGAATATATATTTTTTTAATATTAAACCTTAAAAAACATAGCTAGAATCAAAGCAACAGTTTGTTTATATACGGACTTATACAAACATATTACCATAATGGTATCATATCCATACGATTAAATTTGTTTACGCAAAGAACATAACCTATTGATCAGATCATAGTATCATACATGTATTAACATTAGAACTAGGTAATGTCCTCGTCCAATTAAATTTATACGTAATCGAACGTACTCAATTATTTTAACTAATTAATTCATCCATCACTCAAATTAAAGCTCGAATTTAACACAAAAATTATCATAGAGGAAATAGTACTAGAAAAGTAATATAATAAACGTGATTAAACTAGTTTGAAACTTTAGCTACGAACACAACCACTTATGGGCGGAACACAAACTGGACTAGAGGAAATTATGGTCTCTTAAAAAAATTAAAAAGTTTATTTTTGACTCTTAATTTAAAAAAATAATAATTTCTCTCAAAATTTTTAGAAATCAAATTAAATTTTAAATTTTTTAATGTTCTTAACTAAATCCCTACCATAATTTTTTAAAAATTCTCATTAAGCATCTCAAAATTTTAAAAATTGTAAATAGACCCTAAGTTTTAAAAAAATATATAAAAATATTAATTTAAACCTCTATTTAAAAAAAATAATAATAAGTTAGCCTTCTAAATTATTTCACCAAGTTTCACCACCGTCACCGCCGTACTTTTGTTCAAGAATTGATGTGAAAACACTTTACCAAGTCGTTACCGAGTGTGTTGATGTTTTCAAACAAATACGCGTTCTAATCTTTATGCTTTTTCAGAATTATAATCATCAATATTTTAATTTCTATCTTTTGAGAACGTCAGAGTAAATTTTGCATGCAGATTTGAAGAGTCTACGTGTTAGGTAACCTGCCAACAGCGCCAGCTTTGAATGAAGATGGAGAGAATTTTGTGTATATAAAGCAATGGGGTTTGGCACAGTTTGTTCCCAAGCCAAAACCCATCACAAAATTCCAATTCTTACTACTAAAATGGCTTATGCTTGTTGCTATTCCAAGCTGTGTTTGATATTGCTTCTCCTTGTGGTTGTATTGGGAAGCAGCAATGCTCAACTTTCAACCAATTTTTACTCAAAATCATGCCCAAACTTGCTTTCCACTGTCAAATCCACAGTCAGCTCTGCTGTTAACAAAGAGGCTCGTATGGGTGCTTCTCTTGTTCGATTGTTCTTCCATGATTGCTTTGTCAATGTAATTCTTCTTCTTCTTCTTCTTCCAATCCCTCTATTTTAACCTAATGGATTTTACTTGGTTGTCATTTTCATACGGATGCACTGGTAGGTGACTATTAGATATATACCTTGATTTATCGTGATTTTAATTTTACTCTCATGATAGGGATGTGACGGATCAGTGCTACTTGACGACACATCGTCTTTCACCGGAGAGAAAAACGCTAACGCGAATCGTAACTCGGCTCGTGGATTTGACGTCGTCGACAGCATCAAGTCAGCAGTTGAGAATGTTTGCCCTGGTGTAGTTTCTTGTGCGGATATCTTGGCTATAGCTGCTAGAGACTCTGTTGAAATTGTAAGTCCTCAACATACGCACATTTAAGCATCTTACTTAAAGCTTCAAATAAGCAAGTAATTGGGAAGAATACCCTGTTTGTGATTTGTAGTTGGGAGGACCAACCTGGAATGTGAAACTTGGAAGAAGAGATGCTCGAACTGCTAGCCAGTCCGCGGCTAATAACGGCATTCCTCCGCCGACATCGAATTTGAACCAGCTCATTTCCAGGTTCAATGCTCTCAGACTTTCCACAAGGGACTTGGTTGCTTTATCCGGTTTGTCCTCTCTCCTACAACTACACTTTATGTTTGAACTGTTAGCATAAATCGAGCATAAATGCAGTGGAAACGACCGGTCGTAAATACCTTCCACAGATTTCCTTATGGCATAATCAATATCCTAATGGTGTCAAGTGTGCAGGGTCACACACAATTGGACAAGCAAGGTGCACTTCATTCAGGGCTCGTATATACAACGAGCGCAACATTGACGCTTCCTTTGCTCAGACAAGGCAAAGAAACTGCCCGAGAGCAACCGGCTCAGGGGACAACAATTTGGCACCACTTGACATCCAAACTCCAACGTCTTTCGACAACAATTACTTCAAGAATCTAGTCAATAACAGGGGGCTTCTCCACTCCGATCAACAGTTGTTCAACGGCGGATCCACGGATTCGATCGTGCGTAGTTACGGTAACAACCCAAGCTCCTTCAATTCGGATTTCGTTTCTGCAATGATCAAGATGGGAGACATTAGTCCCCTCACGGGATCAAGCGGAGAGATCAGGAAGAACTGCAGAAGGGTGAACTAATTACATGGGCGGGGTTCTTGATGTGGTTTTGCCTATGGGAACTAAAAGAAAATAAAAGAAGTGGGAGTTTTGTTTGTCAGTTAAGATTATGATATATATTTCGAGTGTTTTTGTGTTTAATTGTTTCCATAATTGTTCAATGGCTTAGGTCTTGTTGCTAAGACATTGTGATGAAAAAAAGTAATAGAAATAGAATTATTCCCATTTATCTCTCTTTCAAGTTAGTCACATCATGTATGAACTAAGTTACCTCATTAGTTAAAAGAATAATTATTATTTTTAGGACTCTCAAATTTGAGCATCAAATATTGCAAAATATTTTAACGTTAGTTGTCAAATAATTTAAAGTCTTTAGAACAGATATTACCACTTATAAGCACCATGTTTTATTTAATAAAAAAAAGTTAGTCATATCATTTTTTATAATGTAAACTACAATAAACTGACAAATACACACTACAGATATAATTATTTAAATTCAAATTATCTATAAAGAACAATATTATCTATTGAGTACATTTAATAGATTCAAATTTCGTCATATTTCTTGTTTGAATAAACTCGCACAAATTACATAAACAACATGCTTGAGCTCAAATCACTTAAATTGATATGACACCTTTTATTATTGAGAACGTTCTTTAAATTTTATTTTTTATATTTAATAAATAAAAATTGGATCAAGGCAGAATGAACCCACCATATCCACTGCATTGTTAAAGTTATATATTTATTTTATATTTAGTATATGATTTTATTTATTTATTAGGTTAAATTTCACTAGAAATTCACGTACATTTCTCTTTGTCGATTTAGTCCCTCTATAATTTCACCAATTCTATTTTCTCTATATTTCACTATAAATTCACGTACATTTTACCAAATTATTTAACATGACTTATTTTTTTCTCCAAATATGTCCACTCTCTGTGACGTGGCATGCATGAATTTGCATATTCTTCTTGCTGCGTAAAATTTTCTTTCTACAGGAACACAATTTTTCTATTTTGAGAAAATAAATGAAAAATGTAATTAAACCAACAACTAAATAGGTTAACTTATATTTTTCTTTTAGGATAAACTACACATTTAGTACCTAAACCATCAATATTTTTCATTTTAGTACCTAAATTTTCATTTGTTTTAAAATCATACCTAAATTTTACCTTTTGTTTCGTTTTGATACATCGCGGTTAAAAAATTAATCGGAACTGTTACAACTTATCATTTTTATGGGTAAATTACATCATTCATCACTCAACTATCTTCTCACTCCTATTTTGGTAACTGAAGTTTAATATTTTTAATTTAATTACATAACTTTAATATTACTCCTAATTTAATCACTCTAACTTTCAAATTTATTTTTTTTAATTTCAATTATATATTAACAAAATAATAAAAAATGTCATGTCACAAAAATTATTAATAAAATAAATTAGAGTGATTAAAATATGAGCAATTTGAAGGTTGAGTAGTTAAATTGAAAAATTTTAAACTTTAGTGACCAAAATAGGAGTGAGAAGATAGTTAAGTGATGAATAATATAATTTACCCATAAAAATACCACGTGCAATAGTTTCGTTATGTTTTTAACGGCGGGGTACTTAAAAGAAACAAAAAGTAAACGTTAGGTATGGTTCTGAAACAAATGAAAATTTAGGTACTAAAAATGAAACAAAATTGATAGTTTATGTACTAAATGTATAATTTACCCTTCCTTTTATCTACATCGGAAAATTTTTACATAAGAGAAAATTTATCTTATCTCAAACTTCTAATTGATCTCCAATAATGAGTTCATATACATTTTCGCAAATTTATTATTCTAATTTTAATAATTTAGCGTGATTAGCTCTTAAGTTCGATTTTATATTAATTATGCTTTGGTTATATTTTAATTTTATTATAACAAATTTATGTTATTTTATATTTTAGAAAATTTTAATTTCATTAATCTTGAATATTATATTGTTCAAAAATTTAAATTTGAACATCAGTTAATACGGTTGGAATCATTTCTCCTCTTTTACTCCTATCATATATCTCAAAATCAAACTATAAATTAATTTTATTTTTAGTACAATTAAAATATCTTAGATTTCTATTCTACTATTTTTACAAATTAATCTTTTAAATTTATGGTTATTTCTATTAACAATATAATTTTGAAGTTTTAAACATGAGTTATCTATGTAGAAATAAGAGTGAACATCCGATCATATTGAGTGAAGAAATTTTGAGTTAATTGAATTAGTGAGTTATACTTTATCATTCTAATTCAGTTGTTAATTTGTTTTTTAAATCGAATCAAGCAAAGTGAAAAGAAATTTGAGTCAAATCACATAAGTTTATGTTAAATTAAAAAAATCAAATTAAACAATTGTGACAATATGATTAAATTCTATGCTTAAGCAAATAAATTTAATATCAAAGGCATTTAGAAATTACTTCAAAATAAAATAAGACAAAAAATATTTTAACATGATAAATTAATTATTTTGGAAATTTTTTTACAATTTAATACTTAAAAATAAAAAAATAAAAAATGAAGTTTTCTTCTTCTTTTCGTTAAGTCTTGAAAGGGATCAATGTGTTAATAAAATATGTTCTTCAAGGATGGATGATACGAAAAATTGACATTAACAATGCTTTTCTGAATGAAAAATTGACATTAACAATGCTTTTTTGAATGACGAATTAACAGAAGATATTTACTTTACTCAACCACTAAATTTTAGTAATATGATCTCACAATGGTGTGAAGCTCGTTTATTGTCTAAAAAGGCGATTTATAGCCTTAGACAAGCCCTGAGAGCCTGGTACAATACCTTAAAAGGCATTTCTCCTGTCCAAGTTAAGATTTATTGGGTCTAAGGTTGATTCCTATATGTTCATTAGAAATAATGATAATTCTAGTTTTTTGTTAATGATGTATGTGGACGACATTATCATTCCAGGCAACAACACTGATGAAGTTATTCGCCAAATAAACACTGAACTTTTACTAAAAGATATAGGGTAAGCTGAATTTTTCCTTGGCATGAAAATCCAGCAGCACTCCAATGGGTTGATGCTTACTCAGAAAAAATACAATGATTATGTCGAAACGATTTTTTCCTTTAAAAAAAAGCAGATTTAATTTTTTAAGTTTTTAATTAAAGAAATGTGATTTTAAAAAAAATCTCGTCTCGAATAATTTTGTAATTCCCTTTCTAAAAGAAATAAAATATGGTTCGAGGAATCACCGCCAATATTTGATTAGGGTGTGATTATGCACACAAAACCATATTTGCCATTTTAATAAAAAATATTAATTTTAATTAAAACAACAAATTTACAGTATGCGTTTAACCAGAAACTCATTTTGAAAAGGGTTCGGGAGTCGATTATGCGTGGGGAAGGATGAGCACTCCCACAACACCCAAAATCAGTACCTAAGTGATTATACGTCATCTGAATATTAAAATTCGTAAATTTGAATATACATTTAAATTATAATCCTATTAGAAAAAAGTTCGGAAATGATATTACTTCGTACGAACCATCTTCAAAAACACACTCCTTGCCAGTTAAGGCATGTTTTTATGGATTCTCCATATCAAAGATCATTGCCATATATTTAATACTTACTCAAGTAAGAACACACCATTTTATATGAACAATTTCACTCAGACACGCTTCTTACTAGTTAAGGTGCATCTCCATAAATTATTCACACAAAAATGAATTTGCCTTGTATTTTAGAAAAATAATATATATATATATATATATATATAATATGAAAAATGATAGATATGGAGCATATGATATATAGATATACTTATTATAAGTAAAGGCATGAAATATGAATGTATATACATACTTATATAAAGTAATATATACACACGTAATATATTATATATACATTACGCTATGGAAATAATATAATATCAGAGCTATAATGAATATACACAGTAAGGAAACACAAACAATCTAATGTTCAATCTACACATATCTACAAAAAGGAACATGCTCAAAAATACTAAATGACATTGGTGAAATCAACGAATGATGAGCCATAAAACAAAACATGTATTCGGGACTAAAATGGAAATTATGAAAATAACATATCGAATGTAAAATTAACATAAAATCAAAATAAATAAGTACCAGGGACTAAAATATAATGCAGGAAAAATAGATAGCCAAAATTAGAATAATCACATAACTATATTAATAGTATGATGTGGGGACCGAAATGTAAGGAGGGCAAAATAAAGTGCTCGAAGTAGAAGAAAAACCAACTTCATTTAGTGACTAAATCGAAATGGTTACAAAACCTGGAGGGCAACGGAAATGATTTTCCCATGCGTTGAAAACGCACAACTCCCATCCCAAAACGACGTCGTCCAGGAGTGGGTATATATACCTAAGCCCAAAGCCAAAAATGGCCTAAGCCATTCATTTTCTCTCATTTCTATTTTTTTACTAAAGACAGAAAACTCTCTTTCTCTTTGCCTTCTCTCTTCTCCCTTCCCACCGGGGGAGGTCAAAAGCCTTCGGCCACCGCTCACCAGAGCGCTCTGTCTCCGCACACGACGGTCGAGGCTTATAAAAACTAGCCCAAAACAACCCTCTCTATTCTCTAAACCCAAATCCAAACACCCCTTACCCTAAATCCTCTTCCCTCGTCCTATATATAGGAGATTCAAAGAGGTTACCTTCGAAAAACGACACCATATTCCGACGACGTTTAGGTTTTTTGACGAAACTAGAGATGGTAAACTTCTTCTTCTCTTTTTCCTCTTTCTTTTTTTTTTCTCATTTTTCCTTTCGAAAGGTGCTTCGAGTTCTCCCAAAAAATCCTCTGGATTTTCGAATATCCCCTTTTTTTATTTGATCTTTTTCTTTATATGCCGAGAGCCTTCTCTCATCCGATTTTTTTTTGCATGTAATGGGAAACGACCTCTGATGGTTTTATTGTCTTCTTTCTATTTTCAATTTCGGGAACACTGACTGAGGAAGGAACAACACCGGAGGACATGCGAAAATGTTGCGGTGACGTGGACA